GAGAACACAAACAAATGGAAAACATTCCATGCTCATGGATAGGAAGAATCAATATCATGAAAATGGCCATACTGCCTAAAGTAATTTATAGATTCAATGCTATTCTCATCAAGCTACCATTGACTTTCTTCACAGAATTAGAAAAAAACTACTTTAAATTTCATAAGGAACCAAAAAAGAGCCTGTATAGCCAAGACAATCCTAAGCAAAAAGAACAAAGCTGGAAGCATCATGCTACCTGACTTCAAACTATACTACAAAGCTACAGTAACCAAAACAGCATACTACTATTACCATAACAGATATACGATTAATGGGAGGCCTCAGAAATAACCCCACACATCTGATCTTTGACAAAACTGATAAAAACAAACAGTGGGAAAAGAATTTCCTACTTAATAAATGATGTTGGGAAAACTGGCTAGCCATATGCAGAAAACTGAAACTGGACCCCTTCCTTACACCTTATATGAAAATTATGTCAAGATGGATTAAAGATTTAAATGTAAGACCGAAAACCATAAAAACCCTAGAAGAAAACCTAAGCAATATCATTCAGATACCATTCAGGATATAGGCATGGGCAAAGACTTCATGACTAAAACACCAAAAGCAAGGGCAACAAAAGGCTAAATTGACAATTGGGATCTAATTAAACTAAACAGCTCTGCACAACAAAAGAAACTGTCATCAGAATGAACAGGCAACCTACAGAATGGGAGAAAATTTTTGCAATCTATCCATCTGACAAAGGGTTAATATCCAAAATCTACAAGAAACTTAAACAAATTTACAAGAAAAAAAATCAGAAAGGGGTTGAAGGATATGAACAGACACTTCTCAAAAGAAGATATTGTGTGGCCAAGAAACATATGAAAAAAAGCTTACCATCACTGGTCATTAGAGAAATGCAAAACAAAACCACAATGAGATACCATCTCATGGCAGTTAGAAAGGTGATCATTTAAAAGTCAGGAGACAACAGATGTGGAGAGGATGTGGAAAAATAGGAACGCTTTTACACCATTGGTAGCCGTGTAAATTAGTTCAACCATTGTGGAAGACAGTATGGTGATTCCTCAAGGTTCTAGAACCATAAATACCATTTGACCCAGCAAATGGTATATACCCAAAGGATTATAAATTATTCTACTCCAAAGACACGTGAACACATTTATTTATTATAGCACTATTCACACTAGCAAAGACTTAGAACCAACCCAATGTCCATCAGTAATAGAATAGATAAAGAAAATGTGGCACATAGACATCATGGAATACTATGCAGCCACAAAAAGGATGAGTTCATGTTTTTTGCAGGGACATGGATGAAGCTGGAAGCCATCATTCTCAGCAAAATAACACAGGAACAGAAATCCAAGCAGTCATGTTCTCACTCATAAGTGGGAGTTCAACAATGAGAACACATGGAAACAAGGAGGTGAAGATCACACATTGGGGCTTGCTGGGGATTGGGGGGGCTAGCGGAGGGATAGCATTAGTAGAAATACCTAATGTTGATGATGGGTTGATGGATGCAGCAAACCACCATGGCAGGTATATACCTATGTAACAAACCTACACTTTCTGCACATGTATTAAAATATAATAATAAAAAATAAGTGTTTCATGTATATTTCTTGGGATAATTTGTGTTGATAATCATATCTTCTGCAAATTGGGACACTCTTATTTCTCCTTTCTATTAGTATTTTTTCTGTCTATCTATCTATCTCCATCCATCCATCCATCCATCCATCCATCCATCCATCTATATCATTTAGCCTTATTGTACTGGCTAAGACTTTCTGTGCAATGGTCAATAGGAATGATAAGGGTGAACATCCTTGCCTTGTTCCTGATCTTGGTTATTTTCTTTTTTAATTTAAAATTTTTAACTTGGTTCTTTTTTTATATTTTTTATTTCTTTGCTAAGGATTTCTATATTTTCATTCATTTCCAGAATGTTCACAATTGCTGGTTGAAGAAAGTGGCACGTATATTCATATATCTTGTTTGGAGAACAGTCTATTCAAATATCTTGCCTTTTTAAAAACTGGGTTATTTTTCCTTCAATTATTGAATTTTAAGTGTACTTTACATATTGTAGATAGTGGTCTCTTATCAGAAAATGATTCACAATTTTTTCCATTCTGTTATCTTTTTTATTTTTTGCGATCTGTCTTTTGAAGCATACATTTTTTAATTTTGAAGAAATCTAACTTATTTATTTTTTATTCGGTTGTTTATATGCTTAGTGTCATATTTAAGAAACTGTTATCCAAACCAAGGTAATGAAAAGTTTGTGTCTATAGTTTTACTTCTTCTTCTCCAAGGTCTTTGATTTTGAGTTAACTTTTGTGTATAGTGTCAAGTAGGGGTTAAATTTTATTCATTCAAATGTGCATATGCAGTTGTTCCAGTACCATTTGTTGAAGACTATTCTCCCCCCCATTGAATGGTCTTGGCATCCTTGTCAAAAATCAATAAACCATAAATATAAGGAGTTTCTTTTTACATGCTTAATTCTAGACCATAAATCTCCATGTCTATCTTTATGCCACACTGTCATTGTAACTTTGTAGTAACTTTTGAAATCAAAAAGGAGAATCTTTCAACATTGTTCTTTTTCTTCGCTGTCTCTTTTTATCTCCTTTCCTTCCTCTCTTCCTTCTTCTCCCTATTCTTTGAATTCACATATGAATTTTATAATCATCTTACCAATTTCTGCAAGAAGTCAGCTGGAATTCTGATAAGGACTGTGGAATCTGGATATCAATTTGGTGAATATTATCATCGTAACAACGCTAAGTCTTCTGATTAAAAGCATGTGATATCTTTCCAGTTAATTAGGTCTTCCTTAATTTCCTTATGCAATGTTTTAAAATTTTCAGAATATAATTTTTTGTTGAGAAACATTAAGTTTACCCTGTCCCCATGGTTCCCTTGTAAAAGATACTTTTAGTTTGTAATAGTGTTAGGTTTGCAACAGTTGCCTACCTGGTATATTCTTGAGTCATGTGTGTATGTAGAACACCTGCGTATTAATAAGACTCGCCTGTCAAAGAGTAAATAAATATGTGGATGAAAATCTGCTCGGGGCCTTCAGTCTGGAGAGCTGTCAGCCCGGCAGGATCTCAGGCTGTATGTTCCCACAGGGTAGATCCACTCTGTTGTGATAGCTGGGTGTCTGCCTCTCAGATACCTTCAGTGCCTCCTGGGTGGGGGTCTCCCAGCCGATCTGGTTCTTGGCAACTTTTTGTACTTTTATTACATTTATTTCAAATAATTTTGTTATATTTATGCTATCACAAATAGGATTTTTTTATAATTTCATTTTTGCACTGCTCATTCCATCAATTGCATTTTAACTTCAATTACTGTATTTTTTCATTTCTTAAAGTCCTGTTAGTATATTTTTCTGTACTGGCTTAATTGTTCATGCTTTAATACTTTTTCTTAATATGAAATATGATCAGATCACAAACCTAAATGTGAAACACAAAACTATAAAGTCCTAGAAGTAGCATAGTGTAGATGACCTTGGATCTGGCAATGATTCTTTAGATACAGCACCAGAGGCACAATGTATAAAAAAGAGATTAATAAGCCAGACTTCATTGAAATTAAATTTTCTGCTCTGCAAGACACACTGTTAAGAGAATAAAAAGACAAGTAATAGACAGGGAGAAAATATATTTATAACACATATCTGATAAGACTATTATCCAAAATATACAAAGAACATTTAAAAATCAACAATAAGAAAGCAGACAACTAAAAAATTGGCCAAAGACTTTAACAGATACCTTACCAAAGAATATATACAGCTGACAAATAAGCACATGAAAAAATGATCCACATCATATATCATCAGGGAAATGCAAATTAAAACAACAAAAGATACTATTACACATCTATTGAAATGGCCACAGTCCAGAACACTGAAGATACTAAATACTTACTAGAACATGGAACAACATTGCTGGTGAGAATGCAAAATGGTACAGCCACTTTAGAAAACAACTTGGAAGTTTCTTACAAAACCGAATATACTCTTACCATACAATCTAACCATTGTACTCCTTGGTGTTTACCCAAAAGAACTAAAAACGTATGCCCACACAAAATTTACAGCAGTTTTACTCACAATTGCCCAAACTTGGAAGCAACCAAGATGCCCTTTAGTAGGTAAATGATAAATAAACCATAGCACTTCTAGACAATGGGATATTATTCAGTTCTAAAAAGAAATGAGCTATCAAACTATGAAAAGACATTGAGAAAACCTAAATGCAAATCATCTACTGAAAGAAGCCAGTAAGAAAAGGCTACATACTATATTATTCCACCATATGATCTTCTGGAAAAGGCAAAACAATGAAGACAGTAAAAAGATCAGTGGTTGCTAAGAGTCAGTGAGGAGGGAGAGAGAAAAAGGAGGAGTAAAGAAGATCTTTGGAGGCTGTGAAAATACTCTGTATGTTATTATAATGGTAGATACATGTAGTTATACATATGCTTAAACCCACAGAATGTACAACACAAGGATGAATCCTAATGTAAACTATAGACTTTAGGTGGTAGTGATGTGTAAATGTAGGTTCATTAATTGTAATGAATGTACCATTCTGGTGGTAGTTGGGTGTTTGTAGTGAGGGAGGCTGTGCACATGTGGGTGCAAGGATATTCAGCAAATCTCTGTATCTTCTGCTCAGTTTTGCTGTGAACCTAAACTGCTCTAAAAATATATTCTATTATTTTTAAAGACAGCAGACTGAGACTCATAGACACAGAACTTATTCAGTTTCTGATTATTTTAATATCTGAAGCCTTCACAGGCATATTTTTCTTGTGTTTTCTCTTTTTACATATCATAGAGGCATAACCTCAAAAGGCTGAGGCTCAGCCTTTGTTTGGTTTCTTAGAGCTTTACTTGCAAGTCTGATGTGAAGGTTATTTGAAAGTGTTCAGAGAGTATGTGGGTTTGCTTCTGCCAGATCCTTGGAAATGCTGCCAAACTACAGTCGCTTGGAGCTACATTGTTAGGTGAAGATTTGCCACAGTGAAAGTGCATGCATTCCTGTTCCAAACACCACCAAGTGCCAGTTTCCTGAAAGGAATCTTCTAGGAAAACCTGTGTTTCCCCCGCTGACATCCAGAGCCAAATTTGACAAAAGGTAAATTTCTTAACTTGCTCCCTTCATGAGGTGATATTTTTCTACTTTACCCTATAGCTAAGCTTATCATCTTTAAAGTTGCTACTTTACATGGCAGTCAGTTGCCCCAAACCCCAACCAGCTCAAGCTCCAGATTTTGCATGTGGCTTCTTAAATTCTAGGACTGTGGATCCCAGGGATTGGCAAATACCATGAACAAATTCAACTCCAGCATTTATATGCAACTCTAAATTTGTACTTTCTTATCATGTGTGCCATTTTTATTATTTGTACTTTTCTGCCAGCTCAACCATGCACTGTAAGATACTTTAACTCTTTTTAGAGCAATTTTTCTTTCTTTTGAACATTTAATCTACAAGGTTGCCTGGATGCAATGGAACCTAATTAATGTCTCTTTAATATCGCTCCAATTGAAGTTTAAAAGTATTGAATTTGGTCTTGGTTCTAGCAGTATGACCTTTGTTAAGTCTTTAGTTGTCTCTGTGTCTTAGTAACTTCATCTGTGAGAAATGAAGAGGTTAGACCCAATGACCTCTATGGGCCTTTCTGGCAATAAATGTCCATGACTCTTAGGTGCAATAAGTTCTAATTGCGTGGGATCTTTGATTGTTTTTAATCGCATTCAGAGAGTTATGTCAGTAAGGATGAGATAGTTCTACTCAACTGTATAGCTTTTCTCTGACCTGAGTGGCTCATTCATTTTCTCTTAGATAGTGGGAGTTCTTACGCTGGGCCTGTACATCTGATTAACGACTACCGTAACTCCATTTAAAAACATCGTAAAAGTAAAGCAAAATATACCAAAGTAAAAAGCCTTTTTTCTTCTTGTGGATTTTAATAGTACCCAGAAGAGGTAAAATAACAATGTGTGTCCTTGAAAATTTTTCATAACTATTACTTTTTTTTCTTTTAAATATACAGTTTAGAATTCCTTAAAATAGTTGTTAGTTATAAAAATTCTAAAACTTTTTGATAACATTCCAACATAACTATATTTTCAGCAGATTCAACACTTTCAAAGCCTTTCAAAAAACAACCCATAAATTGGTAGCAGGCATTGAAAAGGAAAAATCCTCTGGAAGCAAACACTCTGTTTACTGCTGAGAATCCATGAATCATAAAGAACAATATAACCCAAGTGTTTTCCTCTGCCGTTTGAAGCTGCAGGAGCGACTCGGTGGCCGTGAAGTAATGAAATGCACTGAGACGGTACAAAAATACATTATTCAGTTGCTTGCTATATAATGTGATTTAAATTGTTTTTCATTCCATTATCCTCGGCTCTTGGGCACTTAAGTTGAGGCAGATTTATGAGTATTTCATAATTAACAAGTGTTCCTCTCTGACAAAGAAAGTAGCCTAATTTGGGAGGAGGATGGGGGTCTTTCTGCTCTCTCTCCCTGCTGAGTTTCTCCTTCAACACCTTTACTTCCCACCAGTCCATGACTCCATTAACTTTAAAAACAAATTAGAATCTAGCCTCTCTAACTGTTCTCGCTTCACTCAAATCAAAAGCCACTTAATTAGTTTGCTTCTAGGATATATTACAGCAATAACAGGATCTAATATAAACAGTATATAATGATAGGGTCTAAGACTATGTGGATTCAACAAATGATTTTGAACCTGAATTATGGTCAATGTTCAAAGGACATTCTGGACAAAGTCTATGACTGTATCCAACTCTTGCAAGATTGTCATCTGTCTGTAAAGCCTTAAAGACTTATTTTGCCATATTTGGTTAATGAGGCTTTTGACAAAAGTAGAAATTTGATAGTTTATTTTTCCAAGGTAGTCTTAGTGGAACTATTTATTTTCAACAAATATGAGGAGCTCTGGGAGGAAAGCGGCTTATCTACTTTCTAACCTGCCTCCAACATGCCTGGCACTGCTGATGGAGACACGGGAGTGAGACTGAAGTTCTCTAGTCCTACACCAGTAGTCACTTGGGGGAAAGCCCAGGCCTTAAATTCCTTAAATTACATCCCTCAGGGGAACATCACACATCAGGGCCTGTGGCAGGTGGCAGGGTGGGGATCTAGGGGAGGGATAGCAGGCGGTTGGGGGACGGGAGGAATAGCATTAGGAGAAATACCTAATGTAGATGATGGAGTGATGGATGCAGCAAACAACCATGGCACATGTATACCTATGTAACAAACCTACATGTTCTGCACATGTAGCCCAGAACCTAAAGTATAATTAAAAAAAAAAAAAAAAGATGGGGGGAAATCCCCCCTCTTTGCCCAGATTTAGAAAGCATGATATACAACCTGCTGTGTGTTTTCTGGGATGTTTTAGTGATAATGAAACTGAGAAAACACCTATTTCCAGAGGAAGGAGTGGTTAACTTTGTTCTGCTGAGAGAACAGAGAGGAGCCCTTTGGATTGGAAAACACGGAAATCGTTGGTAACCTTTCAAGAGAGTGAAGAGAAAAGGTGTTTTGGCCTGGGAGAAGTTAAGGAGAGAGGAGAAAATGGAGACTAGACAAAAGACTTTGATAATTCTACTAAAAGAATAATAGGAAATAGTGCTGTACCCAGAGCAGGCCATAGAGTCCAGAAGTATTAAAAAAAGGAAATGTTAGAAAAGTTTGTATGCAGATGAGAATAATTCAATTGAGATAGAGAAACTGACATAGGAAAGAGAAGGTAAAATTGCAGAAGCAAATTCTTGTAGACAGTGGAGGAATGGACTGCCATCACTCTGGTGGAGAAGTTGGTGGAGGTTGGGACATGAATGCTTCTCCCACTAAAATAGAAGGGGAGGCAGGTAGGTTGGCAAATTTTGGTAGATGTGAGGGTCTCAGCTAATCGTACCTATTTTTGCAAGGAATTAAGGGAGGCAAGGTGGATACTTACATTAGTTCTGAGCCCTAGTACTTGAGGCTTATAAGAGAAAAAAGCAAATTCTACTAAAGATGAGTGCAGTAAAACCACAGTATGAACTAGAAGGATTTTAATTCCTAAATAATATGTTCCTAAAATGGAAAGAAACTTATTTACATATGCAAATGATTAGGATAATTAAAGCAATGAAGGAATTTGCATTAAAAATAGTAAGATAAATAGGGTTTTGGGTTTAATACTTCAGGGAGGTCAATTTTGCTGACAACAGAAAAAGACTTCAAGAGGGTAAGGTAAACTCATTCCACAAAGTTTGGGAAACCATTTGAAGAAAAATACAAAACTGTTACTGAAAGTGACTAAAAGAAAAAGTAAGATAGACTCTTATGCTGTATTCCTGAATTAGAAGACTGATTTAAGGCTATTGTATTAAAAAAAATTACATTTTAAAAGGAACTTAACAAAACGATTGTAAAATGTACTGGGAAGAATATATAGGCTTGGTTAAAATTTTTTATTTAAGACAAATTCTAAACAAATTAAAAGATTATAAAAATTAAGCTTGTGTAGTATTGGCACAAGAACAGATAAGCTAATGAATAGAGCAGAAAACTGTGTAAAAGCAGACATCAAATTAGAAAATATTGGCATCACAAGCTAGTAAAGAAAGAAAGATCGTCAAATAGATAAGCTAAGAAAATTGCTAGTTATTATTTTTTAAATTATATTCTCACTTAACAATATACTATAACCAAATTTAAGATGAATTAAAGAGTTAAGCATAGGAAATGAAATCATATAAGAGAGTCTATCTAGTTAGCTTATCTTTGGGAAGCAAAGAGAGAATAAATAATTTGACTACATAAAGTGTTAAATTTTTATTTCAAAAAATCTATAGGTAAAATGAAAAGACAAACTGGGTAAAATATCATAAATAAATAAAGTACTCTGTAACATCAGTTTTGAAAGTACCAGTAGGTAAAAATACATCAAGTATATGAACAGATAGTTTACCAAGAACAAATGCAAATTATTACTAAATATTTTGAAGAATGTAACTTCTCTAGTAATCAAAGAGATAAAAATATAAACAATATTAGTATGTTAATTTTAGTTGTCAAAAATTTTTTTTAAATTATTTATGTTGCCTAGAACTGAGTAAGACATATGCACCTTTGGTGGAGGGGAAATTGGCAGAATCTCCAGTGAAAGTAATTTTAGCAATATGTATCAGCCACTTTAGCAGCGTAATTCCTTTTTTAGGAATTTAACCTAAGAAAATAATCAAAATGTAAACAAAGAGGAATGCATAAAGATATTAATGATATGTCTATACTAGTGGAAAAAACTTTACATGTTATTTATGCATATAAAAGTGGGAAGAAAATTTACCAAAATATTAACAGTGTTGATCCATGGTTGATGAGATTATAAATAAATTCTATTTTCTTCTTTGTCATCTATTATCTAGATTTTCAACAAAAGTATATGTTTCTTTTAATGTAAGTTAAACTTTTTTCTTAACACCACTTTTGCTGTATTTGAGAAGTTTTGATAAGTTGTGTCACTATTATTATTCATTTCAAAGAATTTTTAAATTTCTATCTTGATTTCATTGTTGACCCCAAAATCATTCAAGAGGAGATTAGTTAATTTCCATGTATTTGTATAGTTTTGAGGATTCCTTTTGGAATTGACTTCCAGTTTTATTTCATTGTGATCTGAGAACACACTTGATATGATTTTGAGTTTTTAAGTTTATTAAGACTTGTTTTGTGGCCCATCATATAGTCTATCTTGGAGAATGCTTTATGTGTCGATGAGAAGAATGTCTATTCTGCAGTTGTTAGGAAAAAATGTTCTGTTAATGTCTGTTAAGTTCCTTTGTTCTAGTATACTTCAAGTCCATTGCTTCTTTGTTGATGTTCTGTCTTGATGATCTGTCTCGATGATCTGTCTCGTGCTGTCAGTGGAGTGCTGAAGTCCCTTACTATTATTGTGTTGCTGCCTATCTTGTTTCTTACGTCTAGAAGTAACTGCTTTATAAGTTTGGGAGCTCCAGGGTTAGGTGCATATAAATTTAGCATTGTAATATCTTCCTGTTGGACTAATCCTTTTATCATTGTATAATGGCCCTCTTCGTCTTTTTTTTTTTTTAACTGCTGTTGCTTTAAAATCTGTTTTGTCTGATTTAAGAACAAATACTCCTGCTTGCCGTTGGTTTTCATTTGTGTGGAGTTTTTTTTCTTTTTGAGATGGAATTTTGCTCTTGTCTCTCAGTCTCAAGTGCAATGGTGTAATCTCGGCTCACTGAAGCCTCTGCCTCCTGGGTTTAAGCGATTCTCCTGCCTCAGCCTCCTGAGTAGCTGGAATTACAGGCACCTGCCACCATGCCTAGCTAATTTTAGTATTTTTAATAGAGATAGGGTTTCACCATGTTGTCCAGTCTGGTCTCAAACGCCTGACCTCAGCCGTAATCTGCCCTCTTCGGCCTCCCAAAGTACTGGGATTATAGGTGTGAGCCCTCATACCCAACCCTGAGTGGAATATATTTTTCCAACCCTTTACCTGAAGTTTATGTGAGTTCTTATATGTTAGGTGAGTCTCTTGAAAGCAGAAGATATTTGGTTGGTGTTTTTTTTGTCCATTCTGCCATTCTGTATCTTTTAAGTGGAGCATTTATGTCATTTACAGTCAACGTTAATATTGAGATGTGAGGTACTGTTCTATTCATCATGTTAGTTGTTGTCTAGTTACTTTGCTTTTTTTCATTTTGTTATTGTTTTATAGGCCCTATGAAATGTATGCTTTAAGGAGGTTCTATTTTGGTGTGTATCAAGCTTTTCCTTCAAACTTTAGAATTCCTTTTAGCATTTCTTGTAGTGCTGGTTTGGTAGTGACAAGTTTCTCTAGCATTTGTTTGTCTGAAAAAGATCTCTCCTTCACTTATGAAACTTAGTTTTGATTGATAAAAAATATTGGCTGACAATTATTTTGTTTAAGGAGGCTAAAGATAGGGCCCCAATTCCTTCTGGCTTGTAAGGTTTCTGCTGAGAAATGTGCTGTACACCAATAATGACCAAGCCGAGAAGCAAATAAAAGACTCAACCCCTTTTAAACAGCTTCAAAAAACAAAAACAAAATAAAATACTAAGTAATATACTTAACCAAGGAGGTGAAAGATCTCTACAAGGAAAACTACCAAACACTGCTGAAATATATCATAGATGACACAAACAAATGGAAATACACCTTATGCTCATGGATGGATAGAATCAATACTGCAAAAATGTCCATACTACCTAAACAAATCTACAGATTCAATGCAATTCCCATCAAAATACCATTATCATTCTTCACAGAAATAGAAAAAGCAATCCTAAAATGTATATGGAACCAAAAGGAGCCTTTATAGCCAAAGCAATACTAAGCAAAATAATTAAGCAAAAATAACAAATGAAGGCTTCACATTACCTGACTTCAAATTGTACTACAAGGCTATTATTATCAAAACAGCACAGTACTGGTATAAAGATAGGCATGTAGACCAATGGATCAGAATAGAGAACCAAGAAGTAAAGCCAAATACTTATAGCCAACTGATCTTTGACAAAGCATACAAAAATATAAAGTGGAGAAAAGACACCTTATTCAATAAATGGTGCTGAAAAACTGGCAAGCTATGTGTAGAAGAATGAAATTGGATGTTTATTTCTCACCTTATACAAAAATTAACTCAAGATGAATCAAAAACTTAAATCTAAAACCTGAAGCCACAAAAATTCTAGAAGATAACATCAGAAAAACTCTTTTAGACATTGGCTTAGGCAAAGAATTCATGACTAAAACCCTAAAAGCAAATGCAACAAAACCAAAAATAAATAAATGGGACCTAATTAAACTAAAAAGCTTCTGCACAGCAAAAGAGATAATCAGCAGAATAAACAGACAATCCACAGAGTAGGAGAAAATATTCACAAACTATGCATCCCACAAAGGACTAGTATACAGGAACTACAGGGAACTCAAACAAATCAGTGAGAGATAAAAATCCTATTACAAAGT